TTTGCATACTTAATCAATAGGAGGCATCTATCCTACGGAAAGGTTAAATGGTTGCAAAATGTTGGACAGAATAAAGCAATCAACCTCTGGATGCCCGTATCCTTCCCCCCCCCTCCTTTTTTTAGGAAAAGGAGAAAGTAAACAGAGATATTGATGACGGCTTATCCATGAGGTTCCATGCAAAGAAAGCCAGCGCCTTCCATCTGCCTCTCCTTAGGAGAACCCAGACTGAAGGAGGAGCCTCCAAAGAGGCCGTTTTCCATTCCCCCCCCTCCGTTGCCGCAGCAAATTAAGTAAATCAAAGCCACCGAGGCACAAAAAAAAAATTTAAAATTATCAGAAGGCACTTTTAATCTTGATTACTCAACCGGAGAGGTAAATAGCTGAGACTCCGATGGAAATTTTGTCTGCAACACGATTTCGTTGCATCGGGAAAACTTCCATCATTTCGTTTTGAAGAAGATGTCGGATAACTATTTGTCTCAAATGGTGAAGGGCAGGGATGGAGAACCTTTTTTGGCTCGCGTGCCATAAGCAGGGGGAGTGCGGGTGGGGTCGCGTGCCACACCCAGCGCGCATGTGCACATGACCAGTGCCGCCCCCCCATTTTTTGCATTCTTTTTCCGCCCTCTTCAGATTGCAAAGGCTTTACAAGAGCCCGGGGAGGGCGAAAACAGCCCCCTGCTCCGTACCCGGAGGCCCTCTGCAGGCTTCAAGAAGTTCCCTGAAGCCTCCAGAGTGCAGATGACTGGCCCTGGGGTCGTTTTTTGCCCTCCAGAGCCTTCAGGGAAGCCTCCAGAAAGGCCCCTGAAGGCTCCGGAGGGCTAAAACCGGCCCTACGAGCAAAATGGAACTTCCTGTTTCCCCGTAGGGCCAGTTTTCTGCGCTCCGGAGGCTTCAGGGAAGCTCCTGAAGCCTCCGGAGGCCTCCGGCGGGGCAAGGGCAGTTCTTTCTCCCCCTCCCCAGGCTCCTATAAAGCCTTTGGAGCCTGGGGAGGGCGAAAAATCGACTTTAAAAAAGGCTGAACTCAGCTGGCCTCCCGTGCCCTGACAAACGGCTCCGCGTGCCACCACCTAGGCAGGGGGTTGGACTAGAAGACCTCCAAGGTCCCTTCCAACTCTGTTATTCTATTCTGTTCTGTTTTGCAGATAAAGGACAGGACTGGCCATGATAAAATCACAACCAGGGGTGGGCTGCTGGAGGTCCGCTAACCTCTAGCTAAGGTTCTGTGCAGTTCGGAGAACCCCCAAATCCAACTCCTGGCTGGCCACGCCCACCCCACCCCTCCCGAGAGTCTCCAGGTGGCCCATTTTGAATGCAGGTAAGTGCAGGATACGTGTGGAGGCTCAGAGAGAGCGAAAAACGGGCCTGGCGGAAGTTTGGGGAGGCTGTTTTCATCTCAAGGAAAGCCTCCAGAGCCTGGGGAGGGCAGAAACACCCCCCCCAACCATGGTCCATGAGGCCAACTCACACCCACCCAGAAACCGGGCAGAGAACCCCTTGCTAAAATTTTTGAAGCCCACCCCTGATCAAAGCTCTCCTAGTTTTTAGAATCCGTTCAAGCAAAATGATTTTTTTTAAAAATTAAAAACAGTGGCATTCCAATGTTTGAGAGGCTGACATAAAGAGGAGGGGGTCAACTTATCCCCCAAGCCACCCAAAGGCAAGAAACAAAGGATGGAAACTAATCAAGGAGAGAAGCAACTTGGAATTAAGGAGAAACTTCCTAACAGTGAGGACAATTAACCAGTGGAACCGCTTGCCACCAGAGGTTGTGGGTGCTCCACCACTGGAGGTTTTTAAGAAGAGACTGGACAGCCACTTGTCTGAAGTGGTACAGGATCTCCTGCTTGAGCAGGGGGCTGGACTAGAAGACCTCCAAGGTCCCTTCCAGCTCGATTCTGATTGACTGCTTATTACAGAATCATCCCAACCTCCAAGGGATCTTCTCTTCCAATTTCTCCTCATCCTTCCCATCTTGCCTATCTTGGAAACCCAGCCTTGTAGTTAAGAGTATAATTTGGGGGTGTGATAGAGGTATTTTTTGTATTTGTGTTTTTTTGGGGGGGAAACGAGGTTGCCTAGAACACGAAGATGTTCCCGAATGAAAACACCAAGTCCACATTTAATTAAAGGCAACTTTTAGTAGCTACAAAGGTTTGTGAGCCCGTTAATGGTTAATTGATGGTTCTTTGCGAGAGGAGAAAAAAAAGGCCTCATTGGTTGTATAATTAGGAGGTGTAAGTTGTTAACACTTTAACAAGTGCTAGAGGAAAATTATTCACAGCAAAACTGTGTTGCCTAACTTACAGTCCTCTCTGTGGGTTATTTTTAAAATTCTAATTTCATCTCTCTCCTTGCTTACTAAATCCAAGGAGTCCACTGCCCGGTGGCTTAGAAGCCGAAAGCATTTTTTCCCCCCTGCCAAAAATAGAACACTTCTCATAAATTCCTGCAATTTCTCCAGAATGTCCCAAAGTGCGTTGAATATTTACAAGGGAAGTTATCTCAGGGAAGGCAAAGCAGAAAATCCAATTTTATACCTGGGTTTGGTTCATGGGAGTCTACAAGGAGGAGGACTGCACAAAAGACCAGAGAATTTAATCGTCTGCAGGCCACAGCAGCTGATGGGATCCTTGCTCAAAAGAGATGAACATCCACAGCAATTAAAGGCCTGGATTTAACATTGGAGTTCTCCTTAAGACTCACGTTCCTCGACTGTCACATAAGCCACCTCCATATTTAATTCAGTCTACGTTGGCCCTGATCCATGTATTTAAATATTCAATCTGTTCTTTCTACGGGGGAATATTATAGTATACCCAAAAATGACAGGTTCTGAATGGAAAGGAAATCTACATCTATATCTATAAGGATTTCTGTTCCATGCAGTCATCTGGTCATTAGTATTCTTTCTGGGAGTCACTGAAGCCACTGGGAGGTTTATCTGTTCATCCGTCCAAGTGGCCTCAAAGGGATGAATATTCCTCGCAGCCATCTGGTCATTAGGACTCCCTTTGAGAGTGTCAGGGTAATGATGATTTAAAGCTGACCAGCCAAGATAAGGAAATGAGTATGAGTCAAGCAGAGGTATTGCTGCTTTAAGAAGCCGGGGTATTGCTACTTTAAGAAGCTGTCTATATAAGAGAGGCCATGGGAGGGCGTCTCTCTCTCTCTCCCTCTCTCTCTCTCTCTCTCCTCTCTCTCTCTCTCTCTCTCTTGTCATGTATCTCTCTCCTCCTTTTCTATCTACATTGTAGTTCTCCATGTAAAGTTGAAGATTGATTGACTGCTATTGGCCTAACACGTATATGTATTTATATAGAAGTCTTATATATAAACCACTGTTGAAATATAAAACCTCTGAGTCCTGTATTTTGCTCCTGGGCTGTCTCAAAATAGCAGTCACACTGTGTAAACACTCGGACAGAGAGCTCTTCCATTCTCCACCCTTCAGGCAGAACTGAAGAAGCTTCTGGGATGAGGAGTGAAACGTCTTCAAGGGGGGGAAAAAACCAAGAAAGTCCAGCTGCCTTTTGGAAAAAGCACCTTTGGGACAACTATGACCTGAATGACTGAAAACCCTCCAGAAACATAAAAAGGAAGCTGGAAAGTCTCACACACACAGACAAACATCTCAAACGAAGACTCTGAACCTGCGTCCTCCCTCTGTCGCTCAACAGGGAAGGAGAACCAATTGCTTTCAAAGACTAGCAGGTGGGGAATATGACATCCAATCAGTAGGAAAATCATTTGCTTCAGAAGGGTCTGAAAAGCATAATTTCAAGCCGCCGTTGGAGAAGGGGGAAAAAGTCTCTGGAGTCTCGGGAAGGCTCTGATGAGGGCTCTGTGTCGGAGGCAGAGAGGGGGCCAGAGCTGTATGCCAGTTATCAGCTGCCTTCGGAGTTGGACATCAGTGAGGCAGAAGAACAGCTGGAGCCTGTTCCCAATGTGCGAATGCACAGAGCTGCCAGGAGAAGGGAACAGCTAAGGAACAAGGGCTGACTCAGGAGTAAAGCCACAGGTGAATGGCCCCTTCCATAGGGAATAAAAGAGGAGCGAAAGGGGAGTGGAGTTTGCAGGAGACCGTTAGTTCAATTCATTTGGGTGAAGATCTGTTCCTGACTCCTTGCCAAGTAATTGCTGCTACAGCTTGGAGTTTTGAAGATATCGGCCTGGCAGCTCTCCAAGCCTGATCAAGGTCTGTAGTTGTGGAATCTCTTGAAAGACTCTTGGCCAGGACTTTGCTGGAGATGAACCCCCTTCCACCTAAATAAAAGGGGTTTTATCGGGACGAGGAGTCGGCTTCATGATCTTGGAAAGCCAGAACAGAGGGCTAGACTAGAAGACCTCCAAGGCCCCTTCCATCCCTACAATTCTATTTCTATTTAACGTCCGATGTAAAAGCCGCAACATGGGCCGCGAATGGAAGCACCGCGTACGGTGCGACAGACAGAATCAAAGCACGTGGGGTGCCGAAAATGAAATCCCACCAAACTTCTCAGTTTGCTGAAAACAGAAACGCCCTTCTCTCGCTGGCCTAACGCACAATATTTGTGGTCTGTGGCGACACTTCCGTCACAGGCTTCAACTGTTACCAATCTGCGAGAGGACGTGTCATGACGAGAGGCAGAAAGTTTTGACGGGTTGCCTCCTCTCCGCTGAGCCTCGCACACGAAGTGGCAAATTGGATTTCACACTTCCCTAACGTGTAAAAAAAAACCCTTCAATAACGTTTAAGGAGAAGGAAATAACTGGGGTATTTCAAAACATACCGTCAAAAGTACAGAAAGAGGCAATACGCCTTTCCAGATTGTACCCAAACAGCAGCTACTGTCGTTCGACGCAAGGAAAGGGACCCATGTCACTAAATAGGACGAGAACATGTTTTCATATCACGGCACAGTAACAAGCCTGCCGCGAGATCGATGTTTTGACAACCGACAGAATGGAAAAAGCGTCGCCATTACCTTTCAGTTTTTCCGCCAGCAAAGAGGCCTCGTGTTCCGAATAATGCATTATGACGGGAGGCGAAGGGGGACGTATCCGGTCTTCTTCCATTTTGCGACGGTGCCGTTCTTCCCTCGCCAACATCCTCTGCTTACACTCCCACTCGTAAAAGTCATCTCGGGCCTGAGCGAAATCAACGTGGAGGCGGCCGGAGTCCTTCTTATCGGTGCTGGAGCCCAGCCTCATACGGTACCCTGAAAGCAAGAAAACAAGAATCACAACAGCTTCGTGAAGGTGTTGTTCTAATCAATAGCAATAGCAATAGCAGTAGACTTATATACCGCTTCATAGGGCTTTCAGCCCTCTCTAAGCGGTTTACAGAGAGTCAGCATATTGCC